CTCTCAGGGCAGTATATCTTTAGATGTGGGTGAGGGAACGAGTGCAAGTGAGAAGGGCATTGGTGAGAGTAGAAATCAAACATGAAAAAAATACGTTAATGAGAAAAGCTATCCTTTTCTCTCTGTAACAAATTATGTGACATGTAGCATAATTACGTTTATATATTTACATTACTATGCATTGCAGAAATAGTAAAGGGGAACAATTTATCATCTGACTCTTGTGGATAGATCACATGCCTGCCCTTGTGTGTGTGTGCGTGCCTTTGTTTGATGGTTCACATGGATGAAGACTGTCTTATTTTTTCCAGTAATAAGTAGTGATATACAATGTACATATGGGTGCTTAATAATACTATGTGACTATTTGAGGTACGAGTTCATAAAATCTTACTATCTAAAGGAAACCAGTTTAAAATGGGAGGTGGGGGTAGGGCAGAGTTTTGTTCTAGCACTATGACAGATGACCTTTTTTCCATCGATCACTATGCCTGCATTTACTCACTCAAAATATTTGAGCAGGCAAGTCCTTGAGCATATTTAGGAAAGTAAACTACCCATTATCCTTCTAAATGTACATAGTCAAATAAATGAAAATAACCCTTGTTAATTCTCATTTAGTATGTATTGTTATTTAGGTTAGAAACAAGCCAGGGTTTGCAAAGCGACTGAAGAGTATTTAAAAATGCATCGAATTATCTTTATGACAATTCTTGCAGATGCTCCCGCTGAAGTATTTTGATTTTCTCAAATATAATAAAAATAATGAAATGAATAAAATAAATGTAAATTTAGGCAACTTTAATTATAATCACCATAAATGATGAATGACTGATATTATATACTTTACTTTTCCTAGATAGACTTCCAAGAATTTAAAAATTACAGCTGAGGGTATAAAATTAATTCTGGACTTTCCAATTTTTAAGCATTTAAATTAATACAAAAACCTGGAAAGGAGGACAAAGTGATACTGGCTGTGGAAATAACCATTGAGCCTTTAAATTCCGACATGAGGAAACAATTAAGACGGCAGGAGCTGACTTTAAAACATATCCCATTGGAGCTATTGTGCACATGTCTAAATGGGGTTTGGCAGGTGGAGAAAAGATTTATTGATTCCTGTTTGGAGGATTGCTTCAGACTTGCTACTTCAACAGGCTTTCAAACTAGGTTTGAGTCTCACAGAACAAACTGAACCCTGGAATCCTTTTCTGGCATTGTCCCTAAAGTGACAAGTATAATATGCCAGGGCTAAGGAAGGCTCTAAACTGCGTGTGGAACAGCTGCTGTGTGCTGTTGCAGAAGCTCAAAGGGATAAATGCTTTGGGGGAGAAACATTGGCTGTTAGTCAGCCGTCACATACCAGGATAGTTTCTATATACAATAAATAAATGAATAAATAAATAAATAAATAAATAAATAAATAAATAAATAAATAAATAAATAAATAAATAAATAAATAAATAAATAAATAAATAAATAAATAAATAAATAAATAAATAAATAAATAAATAAATAAATAAATAAATAAATAAATAAATAAATAAATAAATAAATAAATAAATAAATAAATAAATAAATAAATAAATAAATAAATAAATGCACATAGTAATTTGAATGTGTACCTAGCAGAATCACTTACTCCTGGGTTTTGCTCTCATCACTTTATCTAATGAGGATACGGAGAACTGGAATATTTAAGGCACAGGCTAGATGGTGAGTGATCTATAAGGTTTGAAACTGCTCTCTACTGAGGCCTGGCTCGGAGTCTAAAATTTTGTTCCGATTTTTGTGAATAACATATCTGAAGTTGAGTCGCACTTGACTTTTGTGAGGAAAATATTCTATAAGGAAGACCAAGACTGGGAAGATAAAAATATTTTTAAGATATATAATGAAAAGATTGATGAAATATCTTAAGGGACAAGAAAATATTAAATTAATTCCTAGAATCCTAGAATTAGAATATCCTTTTAGGATCCAACTTCCTTAGTTTAGTCATAGGATCAACCAGCTGCTTAGGGGTCAACCCAAAATTTCAAGTATCTTGGACCAATGTGCCTTTCCTGGGCTCACTCAGAGTTGGCATAGGAAGACATAATAAAAGGACTGACTTGGGATCCAGTGAGAAGCCAGCGTGATGTGGGAACCAGAAGGTAGGGACCATCTATCAGGAGAGTGTGATATTAGACATGACAGAGTGGTGTGACCTCTGCTTTGACCTCTCTCTATGTGCCTAACACTCAAGTACTTGCTACATTTTCAGAGAGTGGGGAGATTCATAGCAACAATCTTAAGAAAAATGACTAGCTAATTCAGTTATATGAAGGCCACCCAATAAGGCTTAGAGACGTCAGTGGCTGTGTGCCCATCCTGGGATCCTGCTAATCCACTAGCTGCAACTCACAAAAACCTCTCTCTGTGTATGCTGAATTTCTAGAAGGGTTTCAGGACATATCAGATAATTCCCTCTGGGCCATGCCAGATCAAGCAAGCTTTTACAGGAAGCTTTCTCTTTCTTTCTCTCTCCCTCTCTCATGGCCTCCCACTAATTATTGACTACATGATGAATGTAAGCCTGGGATGGTCAAACCTGCCTGTTTGTATTATTTATCCCTCTCAATTCCTAATTTCCTTTCTTTGGTGAAACACAGTGAGTGAGTTTCAAAACCTATTTTCCTTATAGCATGTCTGTGGAAAAGGACTGACACTCCATAAATCCTGGGAAGGATTAAAAAGTTTCATTCAATATATTTGTTAAAAAGATAGACAAAGAGAGTCAAAGGCAGAGTAAGAGAGGGAGTGGTATGGGGCCTGAGAAAGTGGCTGCCTTATGGCCATCAAGGAATAGGGAGTGTAAAAAGCTTCTTGCACACACCGTCTCATCTATAAAAACCAGAAGCACTTGGCATCTCTCTAAGTAACAAATGGATCTAAGGGCTAGAGAGGATTGTTGGCAGGAAATAGTCCCCAGGGCTATGTGCATTTCAGGCCGTGTGCATTTCCCTATGATGCATAGTTCATAGATTACAGAGCTGTATTCACATTTCTCTTCTACCTACGGACTAAAATTTGCAGGTTTGGGTTTTTCTCATGATCAGTTTCTAGAGGTAAGAGAACTAATCTGGATAGTTAAGATAAGGAAATGGAAAAGTAGAAAGAGCTATGAAGAAATATTAAGAGGAATAACAACTTTAGGAAGGTTCCTTTCTCAAATTTCAGGACTTTGGTTTAAAATGCATACTTCTGTTTTATACACTCCATTTACAATTAACTGTAAGTTTTAAAGCCCCTCCTGATCTGAAATTGGCTATTAAGCAGGCACCTCACTCACAGCAGAGTAGAAAGCAAGATTTCTACAAACTGTGGCTGATTTGTTTCCATCCCAAAGCACAAACTTCACTGGTGGGTTAATAACTCTGCAGGAAGAAGGGGCCTGCAGCTGTCTTTCAGTGCAACCACAAAACTCTGAATGAAATTTTAAATGTCTGTTCGTCCCAGGGTAAACGTATCATTCTTTTTTTTTTCCCTTTGAACCATGGAGGCAGCAGATTAACTTGGTGCCACAAAAATGTTCTACAAAATAAGCCCTCTCTACGAAATAAGAATTTTCCATTTCCTGCCCCACCTCCTAGCAGAAGTAAATTGACTTCACAGACTCACCCTACCTGCTGCTATTGGTTGATCCAATCCCACCCCAGATACTCTGGATACCAAAACAAAAACAAAGCAAAAAATCTCAAACAAACAAACAAAAAACAAATTCTTACCTGCTTGACAAAACAGGAACAAAACTTCAAAATCTTTTTTTTTTTTTTAAGCCTGATACTTATCAGAATTCCTCAAAAAATAGACTAGGTTGTAATTCTGGCAAGACTCACTTTGAGAGAAATGGACACTTAAAAGTGGATGGGATGTTAAAGAGTACTCAAGCTTTTTGATCTTAACCCTTTGAGTCAGTGTTTCCACCAGTAGTGATTTTTTTCTGAGTAAATGAGACGATTTCCTGCTATTTAATTTTAATCAGTCTTAGTTAGAGGTGCTTTTGTGAAGTCTTCAAAATTTAATCACTATAGCATCATAGTGTATCCTTTCATTTTAAAAATGTATAGGATTGTTCTGAAATATATAGGATCCTACCGTAGGCATCAAAATGTTCCCTTTGGTTATTTTCACAAGCACCATTTTCTAGGCTGCTGTTTTGAACGATGTTGAATTTCTGAGCCCCAAATGTGCTTGCAAGCCTCTGGATCTCCACATGGGCATAACCTTTCCAAGTTTTAGTAGTAATACTCAGCTAGGACATTCAGGACCATGGCTAACTCCTCTGAACCATTGCATGGCCTAGGGCAGATTACTTTTAGTTAAACAAATACAGGCCTGGTCTCTTAACCTGGTCCTATCACCAACCACCATGGTAATATGGCAAAGACAATAATACATACCATGTTTTAGTAACAATGGTTTACTCCAGGGAGTATGAGCATCATTATGTACTTTAGCAACTACTTTTTCTCACCTTTTATCTTTTTATTGTACCTTGAAAAGCATCCCAACACTGTCCTGCTGGCCCTGGTCAGGGGAGAGATCTGCTCCCTAAGGCCAGCAGGCCTCTCTTCCTTTCATTAGCGGTGTAGCCCTGTGTTCTTGCTGGAGCCTAGCATTGAAGAGTAATCTTCCCTCAGGGGCCTGCCTGTCGTCTGGTTTAGCTGAGAGCTGAGACTAAATGAAATATAAAATATTTACTATAAGAGAAAACAAAGGACACTGACTCCAGGTCGACTCCTGTGCCTGAGGCTTGGCTGTGTGTCACTCATCCCCTGGCCTCTCCATCTGGCCCCCACCTCTCCTCTCCACTGGATCCAGGAGTTGAATCACAGCTCTCCAGGTGAACTCCCCAGCCCAGGGAGTCCACATCGACGCCAGTTCCCTTCTGCCTGGGAGTGCAGAATGACCACCAGGAGGCCAGGAACAAAACACTTAAATCTTGCATTTATTAAGGAAATGTTAAATAAGAGAAAAAAAAGTCAAAATGGTATCACGGATGTCAAGAGCACTTTTGTGGCGTAAACCGTGCAGTCACAAGCTACAAGTTCTATTCTGGGTTTGTCCAGGAGCCAGCTGGAGTGCTAGCCCCACAAAAAGACCCAGAGGAAATGCACTAGAACAACTCACCCCGTTCACATTCGCAGGCGCCCCTCTCCCCCCACCCTTTCTCCCAACCATGACAAAACTCTAACCCCCAGGCAGGCACACAGGTCACTAGGACAGAAAAGGACTTATCAAATACTTATATTCAAGCAAACAAACACAAAATCCCTTAAAACGGCACGTTACAATCAATCAAAGATATTTGTAGCCTCTCCCCCATCAAGGCTGAGGGGAGTGGGAGGGAGTGGGCGCGAATCCCGATACGTATTTGTATGTCCCCATTAGGTCTGTTGCATGGCGTATAAACGGGTTACTTTTCCGGTCACCAGGCGATGGGTGCCCCTAGGTGCATCCCTGCCCGCCCTCTCCACCTGCCCCCAGCGCTTGGCCCACCTGCGGGTGGAGAAGGGCCTTCGCGCCTTCGGTCTCCCGGCATCCACAAAAGGCAGCTTCCAAAGTTCTGCGCCCCATCACCCTTTCTTTGCCACCTGCTGCTTGCTGAGTACCAAGTCAGGCTCCCTCCTCCTACAGCCAAGCACGGGGACTTCCAGAGGGCGAGCGAGAAACTGGTCGCTTCATCCCGAAAGGCAGAAGTCGAGAGAATTAATTGACTCCGACAGGTTTGCTTTGCCCAGTCTCAGATGGAGATGGGGCGCAGCGGGGCTGGCAAAGTGGGGAGGCGTGGGGGCTGCTGCCTCCCGGGCCAGAGGGCCGGTCAGTAGGGCCCCACCACCACCGCCTCCACCTCCTTAGACGGTCTCCGGTCCTTCACCAGGAAGTTGATCATGCCCTCGGACTTGATGAGCAGGTTGCAGCCGAGGAAGAAGATGCCAAAGACCACCGTGAGCGACAGCACGCACATGACAGCGATCTGCACCACGCGCATAATGTACAGGCTGCGCTCGTCTGGGCCGCCCTCCGCGAAGCCGTCGTCGGTCACCACGGACGCCTGGGTGCAGCAGCGCACGGCGCGCTCCAGCGCCTCACTGCTGTTGGCCAGGAACAGGCCCGCCACGTCGGTCTGGTTGCCTAGCGTGGGATTCATCGCGGCAGCAGGCTGTTGTCTCCGGAGCGCGGGTCCGAGGGGTGGGAAGACGGTGGCGCGGGAGGAACAGGTGCCTGGTTGAGCGCTCACTTGCAGACTTCGCGCGCCTGGGCCCTTCACTCTCTCTTTTCGAAAGTCCGGGAGCCGTGAGAGTTTCCCAGGAGCCTCCGACGCGCGCCGCAGTCTGGCTGATCTGCGCGGGCCGCTTCTGCTCGGGCGCTGCTCGTTCCCGGCGCTCGCTCGACTGGGGGCTGTTGGACGGGGCGGTGGGGGAAGCTAAGGGTCGAACCTTGCCTAGCTATTCCTACTTTGCCTCTTTTGCAACTCGGAAGGCCAGGCAGAGGTCACTGCACTCTTCTGGTTTGATGGGCGATGTGAGAGTGTAGGGGAGGGCTGACAGCAATGGAAAGTTTCCGAGGAACTGGGTCACGGCAGCTCTACGTGTCCTTTACGTGCCGCCCCTCTCACCTCTGGGCGGATGTAAAGTGACGATGATCAATCGCAGGTGCCAGATGGTGCTTGCGAATGCGCGGGCCTCCGCCTATGCCTGACTCCGTCTCGCCCGCGACGGACGGCTTTCTAATGGAGTGGGAGTGATCTGGGAGAATTTATTTAAATGTAACAAACTTAGGGCGGAAAAAAAGAGGCAAGGAAGAAGGAAGGATAAGAAAGAAAGGGAAGTCTGGGAGAGGGAGGGAAGGAAGAAGAAAGAAGAGCTCCACCCCCCCTCTCCACCCCCCCCCACCTTTACAAAAGCGACCGAAGACAGAGCGAGGCAGGTTTTATGATTCCTGAAGCCAAAAGAAGGGGGTTAGAGAGGAAGGAGGTTGTTCTGGGGCCCTCGATGGAAGTGGCTGGCCAGGGGAGGGGCACAAGTCTGGGT